GCCACCTAGAGAGCAAAAAGGCAAATGAAAAGGAACAGGTTTGGAGGCTGGTTGGGATTTTTAAAGCGACTGTCTCCTAACATTACAGATGTGCTGAAAACTATAAATTTGCTGTGCTGTTTTTTACAGCAACAGAATAGGTTTTAAGAGACCCTTAATTATGTATCTGCACAGCACAGGCATCGTTATAGGCTACTGCACCTACTGCCAGCACAAACACTGCTCTGTGTGGTTAGTCATTACAGCACTGTTTTCTCCCAGTTCTACAAATTTATGTGGTTTGTGTAAACAGAGACTGATCTCTTTCCCTTTCTTTTGAGATCATGTAACTGTTGCAGAAAGCAAGTCGGTTTTAATGAGAGTTTTTGGATGCTCTGAGTGGCAGTGAACTGCCTGATTTTGGGTCCTGCGAGTGAGCTATGGAAGCTCAGCAGGTCTGACAGATGTCAGGCTGAAGACAGCAGGTGCCAGAAAACCCAGACTGGAACCACCAAAAAAAACACACCCCAAAAATCCCCACAACCCTGGTGCTCTTCTGAGCAAGTATCCTGAACTTTTTAACTGGAGCAAAACTCTCAGGATTCCACTTCTAGAAACCATCCTGTTTGCACCTCGAGTTCAGATGGGACAAGCTGGCAAGTTCTTTTTGAAAACTGAGTGTTTCAGCATTTCTTATTTAAGAAATTTTCCAAAATTGTCGACATTGATGTTAGGTCTGTTCAACACTAAATCAAACTCCCAGATATACAAGGACATATCAAAGCAACCCCTCCCTAAAAATGGTACCTAACAGTTATAATTCCTGTATCACAGAATCATCTCCATTGCACATTCAGTCACAGGGTTCATCATTACAGCCCAGACAGGAGAGGAGGAAGTGGCAGATAAATTCAGGATAGTGCATTACTTACTCTAAATTGTGAAATACCTTATTGAGGTTCCCCCACCATTCACCTCAGTCAACCCTCAGTGAAGGGTCCTCAGTGCCTTGGGCTGCACAGAGCAGAGATTGGATGCAAGTCAAGCAGCAATTCCCGAATGTGCTGTTGCCTGTAGCCTTAGGTACAGACCAAGTGCACCACCCTGTGCTGGGATATACATCTCTGGTAGAGAAATACAGCTGGAAGTTGATATCCAAGAGACTTTGGTTTGGTGTTAAAATTTCTGTGGAGAACATCAAACCTGGACTCGTCCCTCTTCACCTGCTGTTTGTGGTCACCCCAAAGCTGGAGGCTGTCTCAGCACTCCCAGCCCTGTACAGATGCTCTGGAAGGAACAGCCTGCTGTGTAAAACAACTGGAATCTGCTGCCTGCCAGGCATCCACAGCAGCACAACTCCTATTGCCACCTTCCGAAATCACCTGCAGGCTCCTGCCCATGGCATCAGACAGCCCTTCTTAGGGAAAGCTGTAATCTAATCCTGACCAGCAACAGGCAGAAGGAAAGGGAGGGTGAAGGTGATGGTAAACTGAGTAAATTATTATGTTTGTGCATAAGACTTAATTCCACAGTTTCAACAAAATTAAGATCTCATTCTTTGGGCATCACAAGTTGGCCACTGCTTTGAAGCCATAAGTACAGATGTCAGTCTGAGGTTCTCCTTGAAACTTCTTGAAATCTGTCTCCTGTGGCTCAGATCCCGGCATTTCCTGGCCCAGTTTGCACTGACACCTGGCTGCTACCAGGGAATCCCATCACTGGACTTGTGGGGACCAGAATCTGAACAGGGGTCAGTCACTACCCCAGGCTGACAGGCAACCTGACTTTGCAGGAACTTTTGAGTCTCCTTGATTATCAGCCTTCTGCCAGAGCACAGCCTCTACTCCACCTGACACCAGCAAGGCCCATGAACGAGTGCTCCTCTCCTCAGCTTAAAGTTTGAAATATATTGCTTCATATCAAAATTAGGTTCCATCTTTGGTTCAACTAAAACCACTCAGATCAGCTCAATATAGCAGCTGACTGGTTTTAATTAGCACTGTTGCAGAGCCCTGTAGAATTTCAATCCACCATGAAAGAACCAGGTAAACAAGAATTGTAGAATCACAGAATGCTAAGGGGTGGGAATGGATTTTAAAGATCACCCAGTCCCCACCCACCCTGCCATGAGCAGGGACACCTCCAACTAAGCCAGGTTGCTCCAAGCCCCGTTCAACCCGGCCTCAAACACTTCCAGGGATGGGGCAGCCACAGCTTCTCTGGGCAACCTAGAGCTGACCATCTTACAGCACTCTCTTCTTCTCCCTCCACCTTCAGGGTACAAAAGAGACCTTATGTGATCCAACTTTTTGGCATCAGTATTTTCTTTTGTTTTCATTCATGTGCTACACTAGAGGGAATCTTCAGAAATCCACTTGCCAGAATCTCACACCAGAGCATCATTTTAAGGACAAAGGTACAGGAGACCAGGCTGGATGGGGCTCTGAGTAACCTGGTCTGGTGGAAGGTGTCCCTGACAATAGCAAGGGTTTGGAACAGGATGATCTTGAAGGTCCATTCCAACCCAAACCACTCTGTGATTCTCTGAGAGTAACTTACCACTGTCTTCCCCCAAACAAAATATTCATCCTGCAAAACAGCATAAACACTGAAAAAAAAAATGAGGCATGAATACACATTCTAAGACCCACAAAAGACACAATATTCATTAGGTGTGACCAACCTCTGTAATCAACCACAAAAAAATTTAACAACATTATCAAACTCAAGGAGCACCTACCACTGAGAGTATTAGAGATCTTCCAAAGGCAAGTATTGTTCAGTAAGAGAAAAAAAAAAAAAGTGGGTTTACATCCTGCTGTCTTTGTTCAAGAAAATCAGCGTATAAATAAACTTCCCTGACCAAAATGAACTTCTAGAATTGATCTCTCAAAAGTGAAAGTGATTTATGGACAGACACCATTGCCAAGTGTAGATCAAGAAAAAACTTTATGAGAACAGCAACATTAGCAGTGTTTCTCTTGCACATAAAAACTACTTACTAGGTTATAAAATAGCAGCAGCTTTAAGGCTCAGGACTAACCTTACTTTTGCCTTTAAAAAGATAAATAAATGAACGATTTTCCAGATCAGATTACCCAAAACATTTATTCACAAGAACATATGGTACTAAACAGATGTGAATACGTTTTCCAAGGAGTCGTTGTCATTTAATTAGCTCATATTTGTCAATTGCACATTTTTAGGCAGCAAGAGAAAACTGCGTAGACTAAGCCTTTCTATCAGGCAAGGTCAGGTTCCTTTCCCACCCTTCCCAGGTGACACTCAGTTCCAGGTTAGTACAAACTGCTTCCACAGATTGGAGCAGATCCAGGCAGCTGCTAAGGTGCTGCACCAGACACTGCTGCAAACCTTGGAATCAAGGGTGGATTTTTAAACCCCTCCCCAAGTTTCCAGATACAAGGAAACACCTTCTCAGGGTGCAGCAATCATCGCAGTTCATGGTTGTCTTCTAAAATAGCTGGTGCCTCTGGAAGAGCTTCCATGCAGCAAACCCTAGCAGGAAACTTACTACACCTCAGTTTTCCTGGAAGATCATCTGTTATAACAGTGGGAGTGAGGATGAAATTCGGACAGTTCATCAGGAAGCACCACCCATCCCAAAGATTGTGCTGTGGAGCAGCACAGCACCACGATGAGTTACTCTGAATATCAGGCTTATAAGAAGACTGGCTGCAATACCCTGACACTCACTGCTGAGGAATTGCCCTCTTGCACAAACTGAGACATTGTCAGCACCTGTATTTCTCTAGTTAAAGGGCACCTTTTGGTCTTTTTGCTTCAGATTAAATCAGGCACCAGCACAAAACGGAGCAGATCTAGTAAAAAACCCTTATCTGTTGTCATAGGCTTTATCAAATGATTTACTGCCCAATCCTGCTTGCAGCCATCCAGTGGCAGGGTGTCAGGCTGATCTGAGTAAATCATTCCAAGGTGAACAATACAGCACCTGGTCTCTGTGTCCCAAGGCCTGAATCACCTGACTGATGCCTGGCCATATATAAAGTGCATTAATAGACATTCAGTGCAGCAGAGATATGACCTGTCCTTTTATGCATTTCATCAGGGCTTAGCTCTAGGAACTGTAAATGCCAGCATCGAGACACCTGCCTATTGCTTGCTTTAGGAAGAGGAATTCCACAGGGATTCGAGTGAGAAAACTAAGAACAGTTTCAAATAAATAACGACACGAGTTTTCGTAACAGCACCTTTATGGAACACAAGGTTAGCTCTAGACAAGTGCCAGGTTACATGAACTTTCAGTCCTCTATATAAAGCAATCTGGGGTTTAGTCCATCTTGATAAAACCTATAACACTTATTTATAGGCACAATACTTGGGCTATTTCCACAGTAAAAAAAAAAGGGCTTTCCATTACAGTGCTGGGAGTGGTTAACAAGAAAGTTACCTTATGTCCTTTTTTTCAGAGAATAACAATTCCCCTCCTCTATGTCCCATTGTTATTAGGATTTCAGAACACAAGCAATGCTATTCTAGTTAAGATAAAGTGGCAATTAAGGTAATGTAAGCTAAAGACCAAATAATTTTCATAGATACAGACAATTCTGAATATATATTTTGCATGTGAAACTAGATTAATTTTTGTGAAAAACAATTCCATCTCTATACACAACCAACAGAATTCCTTGCCAGCAGAGAACTGCACTGTGCATGGCTAATCAGCCTTGAAGAGAAAGTCTGGACCTCAGGCATATCCAGCTACGTGGATCGACAAGCAATCCCTTCAGATCCAGCAGCTTTGGTTTAATGGACGGAAACTTTGGCCTGTTGTTCAAACATACTTGCCAGCAACAAACAAGCGGGACTGGAGTTTTTAAAAATAAAACAAAGTGTGGTATGTGCATAAAGTCAGTGCCTTGATCCTTAAAAGCATCTCTACAGGCAACTTTACCTTAAAAATGGGCAGTGCTTAAGTTACAAAAGATTTTGTTTATGATGACTGAAGAAAACGGCTCTGCTTCAGGAATTCAAAAGATGGGTCAGATTTAGTAGTAGATTTATTAATTTGCTGTGATTTACAACCAGGTGACAACGTCTGAAACAAGGGAGACATCAAAACAGGTTTAGCCAGGAGGTTTATGGCTTCCAAGTCATTTGGGCATCAGTCATTTGGGCAACTGAAGATTAGCAGACAAAAGGTAAGCGGAGGCCAGGTGCTGCACTGGTGTTTTGGAGACAGTATTCCAAAGTGTCTTCTCTTACAGCAATTTCCTTTTTTCAAACTCCTGCAAATAGCACAGAGATGTTACCAGTGGGGAAAAAAACCCAAAATGCTTCTATTACTGTTTTATTTTAAATTACTTTGTGTTTATCTCAGCAAAACTTATTTTAAGAATTAGAACCTGGAATTAAAAATTAAAATATAAAATGCATAAAGTGTGCAAGCTAGGGGAAAGGAGAATAAGCATTCTCCCACCTCACATTAACAAAACAGCTATGGAAAGTGCCAGACTGCAGTCAGAGCACGCTCTCAGACTGCAATACTTTCAAGGAACTATTTGCTCTCAGGCATAACATAATGGGCTTGAAAAACCCCAGTGTTGTGTAAGAGCTGCAGTAGAATCCTTATAAGCAAAGGACTCAAACCAGAGAAGAAACAAAACAAAGATTTTCATTTTAGTAAAGAAAATATACAACAGAAGAAGAGAAGAATCCCACAACAACCTGTGGAGATGCTATACTATGCAGTCACCATGGGAAACAAAAAATTACCTAAAACAGCTGAATTATGCATTTCCTCTAGCTGTGAAGCAATCCCTTCTTTTAGAACTAAGGAAAATGCAAATAATCCCATTCCATACCTCAGTTTTTCAGCTGTATATATTCAACCACAATTCTGAATTAGTACTTAAAACAGACTCAATATGCCAAGGCTCTCCTTCCTCAAACAACCTACTTACAGAGAATGTCCTCATGTTTTAAAGTAATTTGGGTTCTTTGCATCCAGGAAACAATTTCAACAAGTTGCTACACTTGAAAGCAAAATGGAATCTCTTCTCTATTTTGCCATGTTTACTTTTCTATAAAACAGTATCACATGAAACTGTATGCACATATCTTTTAAGTAGTAATTTCAGCTTGTTCAGTCAAGAGAGCTCTTGTGTTTAAGCAAGTTCAGAGCAGCAGAGTATCTGGGTAAGAGATGCCTCCCAACTCGTATTCCCTGAGTGGCTTCTTGCTCTGGATGGCCACGTGTGCCAATTTCTGAGAGACCCACCTTGTAGATGGTGCTGCCCAGCTGAGCAGGGGACATGCTGACCACAACACCTGCGCTCTGAAGGGCTGCAATCTTCTCCTTAGCTCCCCCTTTTCCCCCAGCAATGATTGCTCCGGCGTGGCCCATCCGCCTGCCCGGAGGTGCCGTCAGGCCGGCGATGAACGACACCACTGGCTTGGCATTTGGGCCCTGGGAGGAAACAAAAGATACCCAGTTACAGAGGAGAGGGTGAGAGGAAAAGCAATTCCAGATGGTAGAATTGTATTTAAATATCAGCCAGCCAGGCAAAGATATTAAACAGCTGGAAACTTCAGAGAAGACGAACAAAAAGACTTAGAGAGTGTGGAGTAATTTCTCTCCTGATAAGCATCATAAAACAGAAGCAAAGAGAAACTTTAAATCTCTCTACAGAGCCATGTATACTAAAAAAACAAAAAAAAAAATTTCACTAAGAGTACTGTTACAGGAATAAAAATCTAGTTGACACTGGTCTCCAGTTCACAGAATCATACAACCACAGAATTGTTAAGGTTGGAAAGACCTCTAAGATCTTCAAGTCCAACCATTACATTTAATCTGGACAAAGCTCTTAATTTCACCTCTTTCTCTTTAATAAAAGTAATACTGTTTTGTAGTACTGTTTTTGTAAGCAGACATTAGAGACTGAACTGAGTTTTCCTTGAAGTGGCAAAAAAAGCTGGTTAACTACAAAGTGTCTGGAAGCAACGTATTTAAGACTTACAGAATTATGTTCTTTCAAAAATGCTGCTGCATCTTCTTCAGCATTCCCTCCAATTTCCCCAATCAGTATGATCCCCTCAGTATGAGGATCCTTCAGGAAGACATCAAGGCAGTCAATAAAATTAGTTCCATTGAAGGGATCACCTCCAATCCCTGAAAAAAAATTACAACCACACGAAAAAGACTGACTCAAGATAATGATATTGTGTTTATGACAAAAGTTTCAAAGCAAATTTCAGCATGAGGAGTATTCCCAAAGACTTATAAAACAGGCAGCTCTGAAGGCTCTTCCCAAGTCTGAGTGTGTCAAATTCCTGCTCCAAATACCTCCCCCACAATTTACAGAAAGCTCTGATATCTGAACATTCACCTTTCAAGCCATATACAAAATATTATGGACACAGAAGGACCGAGACCCCAGCTCTAGAATTTTGCTGCAAGAAAAGTGAATTTACTTAACATACCCAACTAAATGCCTATCCCCTCATAATATTAAGCTTCTTGGGAATATCTGTTTCCAAACTGACATCATATTTCCTGGCACTTCTCTGTTCAAAACTGGTTTTTAGGGTTTTATTAACTGATGTGAAATGATAACAGAGAAGGGCTGTACTCTTCACAGCACACAGGGATCTCATTTCTCAACACACCTGCCATTCAGCAATTTCTACACTTGGGTAAAGGAATTATTTTGGATTTATTCTTGAAAAGAAAAACCAGACTAGCCTTGGTCCAACAGGTTGTTTCCAAGGAAACCTACCAACACAGAAAGACTGCCCCAATCCAACTTGCGTTGTCTGATGAACAGCCTCATATGTCAAGGTTCCAGATCTTGACACAATACCTTTAGGAAAGAAAAGAAGATAAACTTAATATTAACAGAGTTAAGCAAATGACTAGAGGCAGCTGCTCTTATATTCATGAAAATCACCTTAATAAACCACACCAGGTGCCAGTTTTTCCATCTGTCCTTGCCAAAACGTGAAAACTCTCTGTAAGATTCTATCTGTACTATTTCTTGGCTGTCGCTTTTTGACACTTAATTGTCAACAGACTAAACCTGCCCAGGAATTCAGTAACAGTGGCTGAGACAGAATTCATCATGCTACTGCCTTACCAGGAAAGAAAACTGAAAACAAAATAGAAGAATATAGTTCTTATCTTGTGTGTAAGTAGCTGATGCACTGAATTTGAGGCAGAGTTGCAGCTCGGGAGTTAACGAAAGAATTCTGTATAAATCACATCCCCAGTAAGGCCAGGCACAGGAAAGTTCCTCCAGAACAGAAATACGCTGCACAAATGCAGGTTATCACTGTTAAGATTATTTGTTGCTGCTCTACAAAACTCATTTGGCATTTCCGTGACAACATTACAAGAAACCACCATCCCAGTTTTAAATTCAGCATGGAAGGTTGACACAGAGCCTAGATCAGGGGCTAACTATTTGCATGGCTTTTTCTTCATTTTTCCAAGACTTCTGCTAATGCTACAAAAGGGAAGGTTTCTAGGAAAAACAGACATCACTTCCATCTACTTCAAGCCATCTAACAAGGAATATAATAACTATATTGCACAAACAGAGGAGAAAATACACCACTAGACTAACAGCCTTAGTTTTATCAACTATTTATACTGTTGGACAGCTGAGATGTGTACTAGCAATGGCTTTTTCTTGTTACATTTGCAAAGGGCTTCCTGTTTACCATGAAGATCAGATTGCCCCAGAGAAGCTACAGAAGCTAAGAGTCCAAAGACTGTGGCTATTTTTATAGTCGGCATCACGGTATATTCAGATGATTCTTGGATGCCTCACAGTAATAGAAAGCTGGGGAGCACATCACCAAAGGTCATCACAGTGTTAGACGAAGCTGGGAGGATGGCAAAGCTACTTTTTTATTCCTTGGTCCTTGGAAAAACACTGAAAACATTTCCAGCAATGTCAGAGCTACTGGGCTCAGGATATAAAATATTCTTTTGCGCTTGACGTGCCTAGCATTTGGATTGTAATAACTTGTGACTACAGGACATTTCTTGTAGGGATTTAGAAAATCTGAAAGGAACCTTGATTCAGAAGGGAGCTCAGGGCAACACTGGTTGATGTTGCCTTTTACAGTCATAGAGCAATGTCTCAATCGTTCATACAAAGGGCATAATTGCAGCCATCTGGTATTCCAGTTCCAGGTTTACAGGCACTTCTGGAAGCTGGAGGTGTAACACTAGAGTTAACACATCTTCCAGCATTCCCTAGGTGCAGTCTATTCTCCAGTCAGAAGTGGTTAACAAGAACACAGTTTCTCATGCTAGAAAAACTGCACTGAGTACCTGCAGTTCAATAGCATGGAACAGGCACAAAAAATCCACAGTTTTCATCCAAAAAAAATAAGTAATGTTGCAAAGGGTACTTCTGTGATCAAGTCAAATCAGTTAACTTGCTGCCAAGAAACATATACAGCATATACTGTCTACACCAGTGTTTCTGAAGCTCTATTTAAGTAAAAATCTATATTTTCAAAGAATTTTCTCTATAGTACCTGAATTGCATTACTTTTTAAAAAATCAAGTTGTTATTTCTAACAATAGGGAGCCAACAAAAGTTAGAGATCTGCATGTAACAGGGTGTGTAACTGACTGTATACAGGGTGTGTAAGTAACATGAACGAGTCACTGCCTTTCTGACCTTAACTACACTGCCTGAGAACTGGGTATATTTGTCACTTCCCCTTGTGATGGTTTAAATAGTTTAAATTATCATGTTATAAACTTCCCTGTAATCTCTTTGTTGTAATACTGAGCTCCCAACAGATGTAGGATCCCAGTCCTAAGGAGCCAAGCTATTGGAAGGAATAGCGTTGAGGAGTTTAGTCCTCTCAAATTCCAAGATAAACGGAAGTTTCCTTAAGACCCTCCTTTGGGGACACCAAAGTCCATCACACTGTCTAAGGAAAATTCCAATTGCTTTGCCTCTACCATGAGTACTCAATGCCTGTTATGAAAGACTTCTTGATTTTGGTCTTCAGGATTGATAATGCCAAAATTCACTTACAAACTGAGGGCAGACAAGCTGTTACAGTGTACTAACCGTCTGTGGGGCAGGATGTGCCCAGCCTCATGAGGCAGAACACTAGAGCAACAAACTTAAGTTCTAGATGACGCACAAATATTCAAAAACTCACCAATTCTTCCCTTCTTGTGAATGTGACCAGGCATGATACCAATTTTACATTCTCCAGGCTAAGGAAAGAGTGGGAGAAGTCAGATGGAACATTCAAACCACCACTAAGAAGGGTCCAGCCTCGGGACCTAACCCAGAAGGCACTTACATTGATGACTCCAGGGCAGTTTGGGCCCACCAGCCGGGTCTTGTTCTGCCTGACCAGCCTGTGTTTGACCCGCACCATGTCCTGCTGGGGGATCCCTTCAGTGATGCACACGACCAAGGGCATCTCTGCATCGATTGCCTCGTTGATGGCAGCAGCAGCAAACGGGGGAGGGACATATATCACAGTGGCAGAGGCACCCGTTTGTTCTTTGGCCTACAGCGGACACAACGAAAAAACACGTCACGTACTTAGCGGGGCTGGAGAGAACATCTGACAACAGGTCCTTTAAAATAAATAAATCCATTCTCAGGCATAAATTAAGTAAATGGATATGTATTCATTGCCTATGATCAAAGCAAGAGTTAAATTCCCTGAAGATGGGACACAGAGCGCAAGTAGGGAACTGAGAACTGACCACTGTCTGGAAAGGATCTGCCCTGTGATCACCATCATAAATACTCTTAGAAAACAGTTTTCTAAAAATTCATAATACACACCAGAATCAATCAGAATCTAGCTGCATGCATAAAGCAAGTGTATCCAGACTCTGTGAACTTCACAGTGGAAGCCAAACTTGTACTTGACCACACTGAATGTTCCCTCTTTCACAAGGCTTCTATTTCACTCCTTGCCCAGTGACATCCACGGCTCAAATATTTGTCTCTTCAGCGTGAGCAATGAAATAAGGAGCCCTTCAGCAGCATTAAATTGTGTGCCCTCCAGTCACTGCTGCAAATTACCTCCTTCACAGAATTAAACACAGGCAGACCTAGATGAGTTTTTCCCCCTTTCCCGGGAGAAATTCCTCCAACTAGATTGGTGCCATAGTCCAACGCCTGCTGGCTGTGAAAGGTGCCCTACGAGAGAGAAAATAAGTGACATTAAAAGGCTTGTAATAGCAAAAAAAATTAACCAAAAATTCTGATGCCATCTGTAATTCTGAAGGCAATTTATGGCACTTAAATTTACAAAGAGAAGGGAAGTTTTCACTGCATATTTACAATCAGGTATTTTGAAGAGTGCATTGACTTGTTTTAAATGAGTTTAGAACATGTTCATATGCTCTGCTTCTCCTTTTATATCAGAGCACTGTAGTTGCATGCTAAAGGATATTTTGTGTGTGTTGCTAATGCACCTGCAGACACACCAGCCACGCTTTATTGTCCACATCAAGTCTGGCAGATGACAAACACTATACTGAAATAGAAGAAATTAGCATTTGTATCCATGACTAGCTGATAGTTTTACAAAAGCAGCCTTCTCCCCTTGCAAATGTGTAAGGGAGTGAATCTGAGAAAACTATTAAATATCCTGAAATAAAATCAGAAATTTAATCCATAGGCATTGATACTCAAATGCATTTGTGGAAGAGGCACTTCTAAAATGTGGGGGGGGGTTGCAGGTTTTTTTTGCAAACCTCCTTTTACAAAGAAACTCTTTCAGTTGTATACAACAAAAAGTCTTAAGTCAAAATGAAGAACAAAAACGAAAAGTACTACAGTAAAGATGACCCAAAACCAAGTTTCAAGCTTGTGCACAAGTATTTGGCCCAAAAAAGGAAACCACAGTGCTGAAGGACCTTCCTGACAATGAAGGAAGTCCAGCTTCCTACTGAGACAAACAAAGCCAATGTATAATCCCTTTCATACTTCATTAATTTTTTCAGGCAATTAAATTTCTGAACTGAAAAGGTGATAGAAGAAATAGCTCATAAACATACCTGTTTGCCTGTAAAACCCTGACAGATAACCTTTGTGTTTTTGTTAACATACAGATTTTTCCTGGATGCCGTGTAGGAGCAGTGTCGGACTCCATTCTGTTGAACTAGAGAAAAAAACAGAAGAGAGAACAAACCATTAATCCACTGCTCTGCCAGGCTCTGGGTCAAAAAATGTCCTATCAAGTAAGGGCATATCAATTAGTGCTTGTATCAAAAGACCTCGAGCAGCTCGTGTTTTCTGCTCTGAAGCTGCATTCAGGGCTTGTCATTGTAAGATATTAAACATGTGCAGTTCAGCCTCTCGTGTGATTACCCAGTTTACTAGAAATCAGGGGAGTATTTATCATATCAAACACTCAGTATCAGGATTCCTCGTGACAACTGACAGACAGAAACAACTTCTTAACCGCTATTTTCATTTGGAAATGAACATGTCTCCATCCCCTCAGAAATTCTGCAAAGTGGCAAAGCAGAACTACAATCCCAATATCCAGAGGCACAACACCACAAGTACTGTGTTACACCTCCTGTGAACGGAGCACAGTCCAGACTAGAAAAGGAGAGATAATTGAAGAGCTCAAGGGTTCCTCAGCCTGGGTAAAACCTAATGCTAAAGCAAGACAGCACAGCAAGAGGTTTTCCTCCAACAGATTCCTGGCTACAGGCACCTAGACATCACTGCTGGACATGCACTTGGGCTTGTGAGGAAACACAGCTCTCCAGATACTCCACTAGAACGATTTTCACTTTAGTTCTCACAACTCTGGTACTGACAAAAGAAAACAACACAACACAACTGCTGAAAAAGAGCACAGTGTGTGCTGGTACCAAAAAGCTCAGGAGAATGACGGCACCTGTGCCAAAGGGAAAGATGTGTTGACACCAAATGATTACAAAAGAAATGCGCAGAATTTTACCCAGCAAGAAAGCTTGAGATGAGGAGGAAGGAGAGGTCTTCTGGTATAAAAAGGATGCACACATTTATTGTCATTGCTTTTTCAAAACACCGGAGTTTTGAGGGGATCAGAACCAATGAACACCCTGCAAGTCTTTTACATAAAGACTTTAATTTATGTATAGAGTGAACTTGGGAAGGCACAATCCTAATGCAGAAACCAGCAAAAGTTTGTGTTACTATAAAACCCTTCATCTCTTTTAAAGCTTCACAATCTAAGATCTGAGGAAGTAAAAAGTGAAGTTGAAATCAAAATAAGAGATTCTGAATCATGGTCCCTGGGCTGCTCCATATACTTACTCAGGCATGTCTGAACAAGGGAAGGATATTTATTTTCTATTTCTAGGATGGAAATAAAAACTATTAAGTGGGGAAAGAAAAGAAAAAGGTATTTCTCAACAGAAACTGTTAATGCACAGAATTTACTAAAATGCATTATAACAATTTATATGGTGTAGTAAAAAAGTGCAGAAAATTTAAGATCCACACATTTCTGTGACAGAACTACAGGGGACTGTTCCACAAGTACTTTTGCCAACTAAATTGTAGTGCTACACTGCTTTTACACTTTACTTCTACTCAAAAAATAGTGAGAAGCAAAAACAAAACCAAACCATACCAGAACCAGCCTACAGATATCAGATCTATTGCTAAATCTGAAGTCCTTACTCTGTTCTTAGAACGTGCTGGCAAACCCAGGACTTAAATCCAACCATCTCCTGCTGTTCTCTAAGGAGCTGCAGCAGATCCTCAGCTTCAGATCCAGACGAAGCAAAGCTCAGTAGAGAAAGGTACAGATTTGCATGCAGTGAACTCGTAAGGAAAGGGGTGAAAGTGCACTTTAGCTGACCTGCAGGGTTTTAACCTAAATCACAACGTTATGCACAAATACTGTTGAAGAAATTGTTATGCCAGGAAACACAAAGCAGTAGTGGACAAAGTCCATACAAAATCCATACAAAAGGCCATTCATATCCTGTGCTGCACCCAAAGCACTGTGGGCAGCCAGACGAGGGAGGGGATTCTGCTCCTCTGTCCCGCTCAGGTGAGACCCCACCTGCCGTGCTGCCTCCAGCTCTGGGGTCCCCAGGGACATGGACCTGCTGGAGCAACTCCAGAGGAGGCACCAAGTTGATCAGAAGGATGGAAAAGCTCTGCTATGAGGAAAGGCTGAGAGAAATGGGATTATTCAGCCTGGAAAAGAGGAAGCTTTGGAGTGACCTAACTGTGGCCTTCCAGTGCCTGAAAGGAACTTAGTGGAAAGATGGGGCAAGACTATTTACAAGGGCATATAGTGATAGGACAAGGGAGAACAGGTTCAAATTGAAAGACAGTAGTTTTAGATTAGATATTAAGAAAAAAATCTTTACTGAGGAAGATGAGGCCCCTGGCACAGGTTGCCCAGGAAAGTTATGGATGTCCCATCCCTGGAAGTGTTCCAGGCCAGGTTAGATGGGGCTTGGAGCAACCTGGTCTAGTGGAAAGTGTCCCTGCCCATGGCAGAGGGTTGGAACTGGACCATCTTCAGGGTCTCTTCCAACCCAAACCATTCTATGATTCTATGTAAATATGCCTGAGGCTGAGATTATCAAGCAGGGTTAAGATGCAGGCAGAAGACAGCACAGGATGATCATCATCCCTGGCCGAGGGCTGGGCCTTCCTAGACAAGGCTGCAAAGCCCTGCACCTGTACTGCAAAACAAACTCACACACAGCTGGCAAACAGCAGCCTCCAGCAGAGGAGAGGCAAAAGAGGCACAGAAACAGCTGGAATGCTGGTCAGGAGAGCAGGGAATTGGGAATCAGTCTGCGTGATCCCAGCCAGTCAGGCAATCCCTCATGGGCAGCAGGTGTGACTGGGTGAAACCCAACCCTGAGAACAGCAAAGGATGATCCCCCTGGAGAAGAAGCTGTTACAGTCATAACCACCAACAATGCCCTGGGGGGAACAGACTGGGCTTCCAGGAGCATGGGAGTGAATGTTTGGAAAGGGGCCTGCCAGGGGAAAGAGTAAACAGGCAACACTAAACTGGTTCAAATCTAAGTTTTACAGAGTCCGTGCTGCACTACTGACAAATCCACCTGCAAAATAAGACAGGGATGCTTGCTAGCCACATTATTTGTCACTCAGCAACTTCAGTACTTTAACAAAAAAATAAAAATAAAAATCACTGAATCACAGAATGGGTCAGGTTGGAAGGGAACACAGTGGGGCATCTGGTCCAACCTCCCTGTTCAGGCAGGGTCATCCAAGAGCACATTGCACAAGATTGTATCCAGATGGTTCCTGCATATCTCCACTGAGGGAGACTCCACACCCTCTTTGTTGTTGACAAACTCACAAATAGTCACTCATTTCTCCACACATTAAAGCAATTCTACACTCTCAGTCCAGCTGTCCATTCCAGATCTATTTTCAGATATTTATAACCTCGCACAAAAATGTTTTTGAAAGCTTAAGTCTGTCAATTCCCACTTTTCAGAACACTGTATAAATATATTTTTCAAGGATAAAAAGCTTTTGAGCATTTTCCAAGCTATCAAAAGAAAAAAAAAAAATCTAAGCACTGATATCTAAAAGGCAGCTTAGAATTTAAGCTTTGTATGGATTTACTATTGAAAACCCTATGTGCTTCTTACATTACTGTATGGCCCTGCTTCAGAGAAAATACAGCTGGTTCAAAAAGGCCTGGCTATAGGCTTGAGCTGTCTGCTGTCTCTAGGGAGAGGCAGCTTAACATGGGCCCATGGCTGGGGAGCAATTTGTTTTTCAAGAAATTTAAGGAAGAAAAAAAAAAAAACCTAAAAATCACCTTGCAGTTTCTGGGATCGATGAGTCTGATTTACTGGGGGTTTTAAACCCTTCACTTGGTGTTCCTGGCCCTGCCTGCAGCAGAAACATTTGCCCCAGTTATCAGCACAGCAGGAGCAGCAGGGGCATGGGTCAGGAAGAGGTTCTGCTCCACGTGGCACAAACAGCAAGCCCTGGGTGCAAAGCAGCTGGCAGTTTACATAGTTAAGACAGACAGAAGATGAGAAGGGAACAGGTGGAAAGAGGGAATGGCATGCCTAAGTTCACAGCAGGTACGGGACAGAAATAGAATCTGAGTTTCAACTTCCACCCTGGACCTGCCTCCCAGCTTCCAAACCCATTTGGACAATTGATTTTACTAGAACAAATTTGGGTTGCTGGACTCTAAATGCTTGCTGCTTCATGAAGTCTGGAGAATGAAAAAAAAGAAAAAAGGAAAAGAAAAAAAAATTTGCTCTTCAGCTGTGAACCAGCAAAAGCCAAACCCATTGGTGATGCTATTTTAATGCACAAGCCTAAACTACAGGCCAAGTTGCAAAGGTGAAGGCTCCAGATGAAGCATAAGGACAAGTCTTATCAAATCCAAATCTTACCAAAGCACGAGGGAAATGCTGTATTTTGTCAAATCAGAGTTCTAAGATAAAATTACCATGTTCACCGAAGGCCTGCAATAGGCCTTTAGCCAAGAGCATTAAAAATAAAATAAGAGACTGGACGATCTTTCCCAGGCAACCCTTTCATTTCTGCCACACCCCTGTTCTGTTTTGCACAGTTTGTGGTTTAAAAATAAAGTTATACAAATAACAAGATGCATTTATTTTGGCTTTCCAGTACTTCTACATAGCTAAAAACCGAGATGTACCGTGACAAGAACCAACTTTGGCCCATTGTACAGGATAACCAAGCAGTTATGAAAAGTGCTCAAATACCAAACCCCAGCTGTCTCAGGGGAGATGTAAAGCAAGATCGAAATTTAGCAAAAGGGTAAAAGCCTGTATATGGAACATCAATTGTTTTACAGTGAAGAAAACTTACTAAAAGCTAAGGAGAGAGTTGCTCCAACACACCCAGTGCTGGAAGTTACCCTGGCATTTCCATGGAACAAGGCCCAACCAAGCCCAGATCTCACTGCAGTTCAAGAAACAGAAAAATCCACCTACATTAACCTCAGCAAAAAAACTCATTATCTGTGGGCTCCAGCAGGGCTTTAAGCTCTCACTTGTGTATTACAATTAACAAGCCTTTTTTAAAAATACCCTATTGTTTATCACGAAGTCCAAACATGAATTTGCACCTTAAAAAGAAAACTGACCCATTTACGAGGTATTTTAAAGGACACTAGTGCTTATACTGAGCTTTCAGGCACTCCTTGAGCAGCAACACCTCACAGGCACAAACCTCATTTAAAACGATGCAACCCAAGCTACATTTCATAGAATCATGGAATAGTTTGCCTTGGAAGGGACCTTTAAAGGTCACCTAGTCCAGCCCACAGCTTATTTGGGTTGTGCAAGCCAGGTGGCAGCACAGATACTAAGAGCTAAACCTCTTCCTCACTCAAACTATACAAAGCTGAAAACTTGTTATTTTCAGATTTCCTTACAGGAATCCTGTCAAAGTGCCTCCTTCTTTATCCCCATTTAACCCAGAACCAAAAAAAAATGGACTTTGGAAGCTGAGGTAACATCTGAGGGTGCTCATAAAGCGAGCACAGCATAAAAGCAAGATTAAAGAGAAGATTCCTTTCTACAGGGACCTGAGCTCATACCCACACTGCCAGAAGACTGAGGAGTTGAAACTGAAATTCTTCCTCTATTAGTCTTTGAAATAGCCACAAAACTCAGGGATGAAGGAAGATATTCCTCTTCTATTACATGAGCAAGGAAAGAAGAAAGCCTGAGAAATCATATGGGCTCCAGTGAAATGGGGGAAATGGAGATCACTGCAGGGGACACTCAGGGAAGGACTGAGTTACAAGGAGTGCTGCTTAAAATGCTAAGAAGTCCTTTTTTACACACACACATCACACTCCACTCTTGGTCTTCCATCAGTTATGGACACTCAGTTTGTTTCTGAGAAATCCTTTCGATATTTTGGACATGTTTAATTTGCACTTTTATGACCATCTCCTTTCTCCTTCCTCTGCCTACAAATGCCAAGGCCTGAGCAGGACAGAGCAGGAATAGTTCTGGGGAGCTTCTGACAGCACAGAAGAGCATAAGCCCTCCTCCAGAATTCACCCCTGGGGTTATCAGTTACATTAGCAGAAGATGATCCTTACTGACAAAGAAGTTTTCATGCTCTTGAGGGATTGTTCAAAATATCTTACTCCTTTGTTTAAGAGGATTAGGCTCTCAGAGGATTTCTAGGTTTCAGTCCCCAGCCTCTCTTCTCTCACCCTTCCCTTGCCAAACTCCTGTTAATTATGGCAACCCCAATCTGTGAACATGAAATAGGAGTTGAGGAATTAAGTAAATGAATCAGGCTGTAAAGGGCAGATGCAATGACTGTGCTACACCTACCACATCAAAACAAAACTAGGACTAATGGGAAGTGACATGCAGAAGAATTTCAGCCCTTTCTAAGCCATCTTTCTTTCCTAAACCAGAAGTTCCTTCTCAGCACAAATCATCTATTTCTTTAAAGCCAACAAGCTGCCTTTCCCCACTCCAAGGCATACTCCACTGAGAACACATGCAGGAAAAGCTCTGTGAGCTTTCCTCCCTCCACACTGTTGACATAAAAACAATTAAGGAATTCCTCAGTTTGGGCTGTTATTTCTGCAGCAATCCTTTGCCAGGGTTACTCACATAATTACTGTAATCTTTTAATCTAAGAACTCTCCAGAGCCTTCTAACTGGCCCAGGACATGAAATCCCTAATCCCAATTCTCCAATCAGCTCAGGTGCCTACAAAGACTCTTCTAAGTGTGGTGCAGACCAGCACAGGTCTCTCCTGACCCCATCCATATACAACCAGTCCTCTGAGCTAACCTTTGAGCAGCACTTGCCATTCATTGACATATTTTATAACCCCTTTTCGCAACTTCCTGATTCGAACCTCAAGGATACGCACCCTGCATGTTTCCCTCAGCAGTGCACCAACAAAAATAAGGGTTTGCATCTCTTTTGCAACAGAACACACAAGAAACTCATGATTTTTAATCACTAAGAGAAACAGATGGTAATTATTTGTTAGTGAAAATGCATGTACAAAGTCCAAATTTAACGTTCCAGCAGTTTTTTAACATTTTCTAAAGACTGTCAAACCAAGCAAAGGTTTCCAACGAAGGACTATGTCATCTTGAGTTTCTTTAAGAGTTTCTACAAAGGATTTCATGAGTTTCTATAAAAGATTTCATGAACAGCTGCAAAAAGACATTTCTTGAGCCACTTACATCTCTTCTCTCCCTCTACCCCTCAAAATAATTTTAAGAACTACTCCCTGAATCTCTTACTGCTATTTGTAAAGGGAACAATGTGGGGTTTTAACACGTGAAACTGCACCCAAGAGTAGCTTTGCTGGGAGTATAAATTAAGCTAAATTGGAAGGTGCTACATTCCCATCTGTTCCCCTCCATCAGAACCAATTCTCATCAGGCTCAGGGGAGCCAATTCAAAAGCTGAAGTGGTAGAAATTAACTGTATAGTATGAAAATAGTTTTCTGTTCCTGTTCATGGAGAACAAGAGGCAGGAATGGATACCTAACTGGACAGCAGCTGTGCCACAGGAACTACTCACACCAGCTTATGGTTGTGAGGTCCTGTTGCCAGACTCTGACCTGCAAGTCACCATCCCACCGAGACAAAAACACTTTGTGTGGAGTGAAATGAGGCAGATTTAAGTTCGTCCATTCATTTTCAGCTGCAAGAACCTAATTAATGCACAATTTCCTCAGTTTAAATTCCAAGAAACTCCTCTTGTGACCCACACTGATCTCACAGAATCACAGAATGCTTTGGGTTGGAAGGGACCATCAAGACCACCCAGTTCCAACCCCCTGCCATGGGCAGGGACACCTTCCACTAGACCAGGTTGCTCCAAGCCCTGTCCAGCCTGTCCTTGGACACTTCCAGGGATAGGACATCCAACAACTTCTCTGGGCAACCTGTGCCAGGGCCTCACCACCCTCACAGTCAATAATTTTTTCCTAATGCCTAATCTAAACTTACTTTATTTCAGTTTAAAGCCATTCCCTCTTCTATGTACTACAAGCCCTCGCAAAGCCTCCTCTTCGATAGAGAACGTAGCTTTAACTGAGCAAAAAAAAGCACGGTGAAAAGAAAAAAATAAAAGGAATAAAATGAAAAAAAAAAAAGGGCATTTTATTTTTTTATTATGATGTTCAGAACAACACATCTTAAATTGCTTCAGGGTGAAGTACTAGCCTCGGACTGCTCTTGCTCTCCACAACACTTAGTAAATGTTTCAGGGTGAAGTATTAGTGTCGGGCTGCTCGTGCTCTCCACAAAAGGAGGCCAATACACAAAAACAACTTTACCGCCTTGCGCTGACACCCCAGGGTAGCTCAGGGTGCCTCCAGCTGCCTCTCGCCCAACCCACCACCCACCTCTACCAGCTTCCTCTGGCCCTTGACCTTTACTTATTCTTTCCGGGGCCGCAACGCGGAGAAGAACAACCTTCCCTGCTCCCCATCCCCGCGGGCGCACACCCTCCACAGGGAAAAAGGAAAAAAAAAAAAAACAAAAAAAAAAAAAAAAAACACAAAAAACCCACACAACTTTCCGTGTATTTTATTAACCAGCCTTCCCCCAGCCACCCAGAGCAGAGCCAGCCCCCCGCCCAAGGAGGGCACAGCCGGTGCCCAGAGCAGCGCCGCGATCCCCGGGGACACGGCCGGTCCCAGCCCCGCTGCCCCGCGGCCCCTCCGCGCCGCGCCCCGCCGTGACCTTGCCCGGCCCCTTCCCCTGTGCCTGCCCCTCCCGGCCGGGCCCCAGCGCTCTTGCCCCTCCCCGTCCCGTCCCGTCCCGTCCCCACGGCGGTGCCGGGCGGCGGGGACGGCCCGTGCCGGTACTCACGGCGCAGGACGCGGCCGAGCAGGCGGGCGGCGGGGCTGCAGCGAGACATCGTCCCTGCCGTCCGCAATGACGGCCCCGGCGCGGCCCGGCCCGCCCCGGCGGCGGAAGGAAGGGCGGCCCCGCGCCGCCTTCTGGGGGCTGTAGGCGCCGGGAGGGAGGGAGGAGTACGCCGAAAAGAAAAAAATTTTTTCTCTCTTTTTTTTTTTTTTTTTTTCCCCAAAGGTATCATTTTCTCTTTCTCGGTATCGAGAGCAATAATCCCCCGCTGCTCTGTGATTTATCCCCTCCCCACCCACCCAAACCGGTCTTCGCGATGTAAAAATAAGAGCAATAATTCTCCCGTGGCCCGGCGATTTTCTGTGGGAAGTTTGCGTTTAAGGTGGTTGCGGAATAAGCGGGTTTCTGAGTGGTTTGTTTGAAGCAGCTGCGGTGGTAGTAGTGGTACACCGAGCATCCAGTTTTTGGGTAAGAGGTGCTGAACAAAGGCTCTCTATAACTGGCTGTAAATGCGCTGCTCGACGGGCAAGTTCAGGTAAAGTTCGAGCTCCAAATGACCACCAAGAGACCACCAGAAGACCCCCCGTACTAACCAAATAGGGACTTCTGAAGAACTTCTTAGGACTAATTAACATGCGAATGGACTTTATAGGAGGGGTAGTGAATATGTAAGGCATCTGATGAATATTTAAAATTAGAAGTAACTATTAGCTACTCTGGGCCAAGAATGGGTCACATACATGATCAGAGGAGCGATCCTCCTGTGTGCCCAGCACTGATGATAAAAGAATGTCTGCCCACTAATGCTTGCAAATTGAGTTTTAGTGGGTTTCTTATTGCCATTTTACGGTAACAATTTATAATCCCACATGGAAGTTACATGACCGATCAAATGAAATATATTACCTCTCTGAAAGAAGGTAGATTCAGACTAGATAAAATGAAGATTTTTTTTTTTACAATGAGGGTGCCGAGGTGCTGGCACAGGTTGCCCAGAGAAGCTGTGGATGCCTCATCCCTGGAAGTGTTTAAGGCCAGGTTGGACACAGTTTGGAGCAACCTGATCTAATGGAAAGCGTCCCTACCCGTGGCTGGAGATGGAACTGGATGATCTTCAAGTTCCCTTCCAAACCAAACCATCCTGATTCTATGATACCTGACATCATATGTTAGTAATCTGCTCGAAGTGCTGTAGAAAAGGAGTGAAACCCCTGTCCCGACCATGTCAAGTGAGCACTAAGAAAATGCTCCAAGGCCACAAGGATGGCACAAGGAGGACACAGGTGATGGTCCCAGGATGGTCAGTCTGATAAGCAGCAATGCTGACCACCCACTGCTTTATTGCAGCTAAATGGTTTGAAATTAAATTGTTTTTTAAAAAATTGAAGAGAACTCACAATCCTCTCTTTCATTCACCATGTACAGTTTATTTACCTGGTTGATCCTGGGGCAGGAAAAGAGTGTATTTGAATAAACCAAACAACACTGTTCTGAAACAATAATTAGTGTTTTCTCCATACAGAGATTCTTAACAACATCATTTTCTTTCTATCAAATTTTAGAAGACATTTGTTCTGAAAGAAAAAAAGGGTTAATGAACCATAAGAAAGGCTCAGTTCCATTTTTTTGACAAGGCAAACATTCCTGAGAGAGTGTGTGTCAGGGGCAATGGTTACAAGAGAAGTGTCTACAGAGCAAACAGAGGCTATGCTGTACCTGGGACTTGTAGGGAAGTCAGAAAAATCAGGAAAAACTGTGAAGTCAGCTCATTTATTTAAAAAAATGTGCAATTCTTACAGCCACAAGCAAACTGACTTCAGATAAGTGTCACAAAAAAACACTGAACTCTACAATGAGTCTTTATATAATGGGGGTTTAAATGCTTTAACTTTCACACATGAGCTTCGGACACAGGTCAGCTCATGCCCCGTGCCATCAGCTGCCTCCAGAAACATATCCTGTACATATATCCAGTACAAATACTTGGATATCTGTGCGAAGGAGACAAGAAGAGACAAAACATTCCCTCAGGACAATAATTGTCATACTCTGATTACTTCATTTTGTGTCCCTAAAACTGAAGCTGTAATAAATAAATGGAGCATCCAATGTTCAGCCTCTTATGATCCCTCTAGGAGGGGACACACACTGATTTTATAAGGAACCCACTCTACTGAAAGATTTATATCTGGATCCATTTCCAAATCCATTTTTCCTTGAGGCTTTCACTAAGACTCTTGTGGGGATTACAGAATTTGAGTTATTTCTCTATTGTCATTCTGTATACAGGAAGATTTTGCTTTTAGCGTCCCTCAACAAAACTCTTATTTTCAGGACGGGAAGGGAGAGAAGCTGATCTAGAAAAATAACACACAAAAGAACTTAGGGGCACTGGGTATCAGAAAAACCAAAGGGAACAATTAGAACCCCAACTGTTCCTAAGTGATCCCCTCGCCATGGATCATAGGTGGCAGTGACAGGCGGGTCAGAGAATTCTGAGTCCCACTCCTGCCAACAGGGAGATCTGGAGCTTTTAGCCCCAACTAAATTATACAGTGAGTTATTCTTGCTCTCCTTTTTATGTTGAGCTATGTAGCATCAAAAGTCCATCTGCTGGACACCAAATGCAGTTAAAATAACTCAGACCTGCCTGAAGTCAAACAATATGATAAAATAAGGACAACTGCAGTTTTTTAGTGTTTTTTAATAGAATCATGTAGATGAGTGTTTGGGTTGTTGTTTGGTGGGTTTTTTATTTGTTTTTGGGTTTTTTCAACCTCAGTAGCAGAGACATCTCTTCAGTCCTTTGCATTCAAAACCTGAATGCATATAGAGTTTTTTGACTCTGTATTTTGGCTCTGTAATTAAAATCAATACCGAGCCATCATCACTCTAACTGTTGAAGTTTCAGGGTATGGAAAGCAGCTGTACAATATATACTTGGGCAGACGTACATGGAATTGAAGAAAAACAAACCTATTTTCAATTGTTGTAATGCAGTGGTTTGGTTCCTGTCAGAGAACACTCTGTCCCACCAACATTAATTTTGCTGATTTAATCAACTGCCTAGAAAGAAACCATTCAGCCTAGGGAGAAACAATACAGCAATTAGCAACACTCAGGTAGCAGTGCCAGGAGCTGACTTACAAAAGTTCAGGACAGACACAGTTCTAGTGGCATAGCCAAAAGATTAAGAAAGATTTGGGGATTAAATCCAAGAACAATAATTTTCAACCAATGTAGCAAGCCCAAAGCTCAGATAATTGGTGTGGTTACTCTCTAATGCATTTTTATAAAGGATTTCATTTTAAGAGCAACACAGATCTTGGAGCTGAACCTGATGAAAACCACACACCCAGGGACAAACTCAATTCTAGTGAAAACCTTTTTTTTGCTTTCTTACTCATAGTTGGGCTTTAATCCTGTTTGAAAGCAGATCTGCTGATATTAAACACAGGGCTTTCTGCTTAGTATCCCTCACAGAGCACTTGATCTTCTGCTAGTAAAAAGCCCAAAGGAACATTATGTTAATGTTTGCCTACCTAGGAGCTTCAGCCACAGCAGAAGACAAAAACACTCGATGTTTTTGAGGTGTTACTGCTAGTGCTTTGTTTACTTCCATCATCAGCCAAAAATGTGCAATGCAAATAAATCACCAACCTCTTAAATGTCTGCATTTAGCTAAGGACTAAGAGCAGAAAAAATGCTTTAGACACCCAGGTTTTTGAAGGTGTCCTGTTTTCACCTCCAGAGTCCAGGTTTGATATTATACCACAGAATGAAAAAACAACTGTGCTCGAGGCACTGGCACTTAGAAACACCAAGACAGTTGTCACCTGCACCAACCCCCTGTGTTTTCCTTCTCCCGAGGCCTTGATGGACACAACAAAGATACTGCCTGCAGGCCACGCAGAGTGGGCTGTTACAGCATGAAACTGAAAGTACAGTTGCTTTTCTTGAATAAGGCCTTTGACACTTTTTGCTATCCCACAGTCATGACAAATGACTGGGAGCCTTGTCACTGCTTTGCCAAAGAGTGACAATGTACAGGGACCACCAGGGCAATCCTGCTGCCACCATGTATCAGTTCATGTCTACATTTGCTGTTTACATCTGCACAGCCAGAGGTTAAATGCTGCCACTTGTTTCTTAGGAATTTGAGCCTTGCACTTGACTGACAACTTCAGTGGACACAGTTTCCATAGCTGGCCCATCAATACATTCATGTCTCTGTAAATGTTCTCGTAAGAGAGAGGTACAAAGCAGGATACCATCTTTGCTCTGACCAAGTGGATCCTGCTGCCTTTTCTGTGACACTGATTGGTGTGGGTGCTTGTAGGATTCCACTGATCTGTTCCCACTTAAAAAAATGGGAACTCCAAGCTGAAATAAGCTTATTCACTCCAAGGTTTTCAGCATTTACTACAGCACAGTTTCCTCTGAATATCAGGACTGTCGGTGCTTATCTCTGAGCTGAAGGAAATGTTGGTCAGGAGTGTCATGCTCCTGCAGATCTCTTCTTAAAGAATGTGTGCCTGATCATGGCATAAAGATGGCAAACCTCAAAGTTTTCCAAATAATGGTTACATATTAAATAGTAAATGAGAAGTGGGATTTTCCTTCTATGTAGCAAGGATAAAAGTGTCTATTTGGAGATCTACTCAAGGAGTTTTTGGTCCCAGCAAGAGACCTGCTCTGTCATTTCCCTTCCAGCTGCTCACTGCCCTAGGACTGCAGCCCCTTATACCACAAACATTGTGGTGAAGTTCACGCCAAGCAGAAGTCCCTTGAGATAGTGTTGTTGTCCAGAGAAGTTGTGGACTCCCTGGCCCTGGAGCCATACAAGACCAGGCTTGACTGGGCTCTGAGCAACTTGGTCTAGTGAAAGGTGTCGCTGTCCATGCCAAGGGCTTGGAACTAGATGGTCTTTAATGTCCCTTCCAACCTAAACCATTCTATGACTCTATGGCAGAATCACACACTTAATCCCCACAGTAAACTCAGACATATTAAAAATCTTGGGGTTGTATTCAGCCTGGCAGCTGTACAAACAGCACAGTTGGTAGAGCCACAAAATGGGCTTTGTGGGCAGATATTTAATAGCACAGA